CTGCTTTCCGGAGGGACAACTCTCTCCGTGACTCCCTTGTCCGCTCCACACTCCCCTCCAGCTCCACCACACCCGGCACTTTTCCCTGCAACCGCAGGAAGTGCTACACCTGCCCCCATACCTCCTCCCTCACCCCCATCCCAGGCCCCAAGAAGACTTTCCACATCAAGCAGATGTTCACCTGCACATCTGCCAATGTGGTATACTGCATCCGCTGTACCCGGTGTGGCTTCCTCTACATCGGGGAAACCAAGCGGAGACTCGGGGACCGCTTTGCAGAACACCTACGCTAGGTTCGCAACAAACAACTGCACCTCCCAGTCGCGAACCATTTCAACTCCCCCTCCCATTCCTCAGACGACATGTCCATCCTGGGCCTCCTGCAGTGCCACAACGATGCCACCCGAAGGTTGCAGGAACAGCAACTCATATTCCGCTTGGGAACCCTGCAGCCCAATGGTATCAATGTGGATTTCACAAGTTTCAAAATCTCCCCTCCCCCCACCGCATCCCAAAACCAGTCCAACTCGTCCCTGCCTCCCTAACCTGTTCTTCCTCCCACCTATCCCCTCCTCCCACCTCAAGCCGCACCTCCATCTCCTACCGACCAACCTCATCCCGCCCCCTTGACCTGTCCGTCCTCCCTGGACTGACCTATCCCCTTCCAAACTCCCTACCTACACTCACCCTTCCTGGCCCCATCCCCGCCTCTTCGACCTGTTTGTTTCCTCTCCACCTATCCTCTCCTCTATCCCTCTTCTATCCGCCTCCCCCTCTCTCCCTATTTATTTCAAAACCCCCTTCCCCTCCCCCTTTTCTGATGAAGGGTCTAGGCCCGAAACGCAGCCTCTCTGCTCCTATGATGCTGCTTGGCCTGCTGTGTTCATCCAGCCCTGCACCTTGTTGTCTCTGCTGTCCTTACCTGGTCTGGACTGCACGTAAACTCCAGACCTACTGCAATATGGTTGACTTTAACTGCCCCCTGGGATATTAGGGATGGGTAAAAATGGTGGCCTTGCAAGTGCTACCACCACCGATAAAAGAATAATAAAAGTTTCTGTGTTTTTTCAGGAGATGAAATCTGTTGCACTGATATGAATGCTGCTCTCGTTTGTGTTATGGAACATGACAGTATAGAAACAGGGTTTAATCACAGGATGACCAGGGCACATGGTTTTAGGGGTTAAACAGGGAGTTAAATAGGGGTTAAAAATTTCCATCTCGCTTCTTCAGTTTTCATGGATTTTTTCATAATGGTATTAGTTTGTGCGAAAGGTTAAACTTACATGCATTATCAAGAGGTCTGCATATTATAACTGTCACTTACGTTACTGTTAAACTAAAAAAACACATCAAATCATCCACGGCATTTTGTTTTCAGGCTACTGACAGAATTATTAACTAGTACCAATTAATACCTTGGCAGTGGCATGGGGAGAGGCACCTTTCTCCAGCAACAGCAACGCCACCTTCTGGTTGTCATAGTGAGCAGCAACATGGAGTGGGGTTAGGCCATTCTGTAAGAATTTGTCTTTGTTACTAAGTGCTAGTGCTGCTCATAAAGGATTATTTGTTAGCAAACCACAAATAGCTTCTGTAAGCAGTTTCATATCTGTACAAATACATCAAAAATAGAAAGATGGATACAAGAAAGTAGTTAATGCAAATCCCGCAGCATTGACTTACCATCTGAAATAGATGGTTTCTATACACAATGACAAACCGTTAAGCTTCCATTGTATTCCATCAGTCAGCATGTTTTCACAATTTGAATTATAATTCAGTAAATTATCAAGGTATTTTTCATAATTGGAATGAAACAAGATCAAAATCTTGTCATTGCATCAATTATTGCTGAGCCAGTTGCTGTGATTGATACAGAAACAACATTCAAAGCAATTTTACTCAGTTCTAATGCCCACAACAAAAAAGACACCATCTGAATTCTTCCAAGGTTCTGGTACTGAGGTAGAATATACACAGCATCCAGTGCCCATTTCCTAGAACAGAAAATAACACCAGAAAAGGCACTGCTGCGGTTCAGGTCCATCACTCCACCTCCCAAGCCAGGGTCAGCACAAAAGATATTTGCAAGCTCTTGTCTTTTACGGAATGTTCTTCTCACACTCAGTACAAGTTATTAGTGTGAAAATCTCTCAATGTAACAATTGAGGGAATGTTACTCTAAGGGTGGGGTGGGGAGAGGAGCCCTGCATTGCATATGTTGAATAGAAATAATAATTTACTGAAATGCAAAAATTTGGCCTTTCAAATATCCCATTGCTAAACATGGCTGTTAGATGATAAATCTTCAACAAAAGTTAGCCATTGTCTCTTCTGTTTGGAAGAGAATACGTTATAACAGGAGGTTTTACTTTCACCCTGAAAGTCCAAAGTAAATTTACTTTGCATTACTCCCATAAATGCAAACAGATTATAGGTCAACAACTGTGATGCAGCTGAGATATGATCATTTCCTCTGCTATCCCGAAAACAGGCAGCAAGTGTTTCGGGTATGCAGAGGGTATGGGGGGACAAATGTTAGCTCGTATTTTTATTCCTACCATGCAACTATCTCTCACTTGATGGCAGGAATAAGAAAACCTCATCTTCTCACAGCAGAGGCAGAAGCCTTTTTGAGATGTAAAAGCCTTCTGTGAAACAGCTCCTCGAAATTGAGTAAAGCTTTTGTCTTTGAACGTTTGGAAATAGACAGAAGCAGACAGAATATTAGAGAAACACATTAGCAAAAGAGACATGAATCAGACCCCATCTCTGTTCATGCAGCCATCCACTATGGTTTAGGTTCAGGACAGGAGTGCTTTGGGTGTGGAAAGGATCATCTTCAGAGAGAGCATGGGGTGAGGGAAAAGGATTGTGCAGGTAATATTCTAACATGCAAAACAGACAATTAGGTCAAGCTACTGGAAAATTAGCTTCAATTTAAGTGACTATTTTCAGCATTTTTTCAAATTAAGTATCAATTTTTAACTTCAACGGCCTAAACGACCACATTTTGTCATAAATTTTGGAATCCATGTGTAATATTTTATGCACAGACCAATGTATTTATGGATTTTCTAATTAGAAACTGCAAATTTCTTTTCAATGTCAAAATTTTAGGTGGCCAGAGTTGTGTTAGTTTCATCTTCCCATAGTAGACAAAACTAAAATCATCTGTGTATTTCCAGCCTGAACTTTTAAAAGTTCATTAGTAACTTGCCTTGCCAGCAGAGTCTGGAGAAGCAGAGCGTTGCAGAAGGAGCTTTGCCACATCTAGGCTCCCATACTTAGCTGCGACATGTAGTGGGGTAAATCCCTTCTGCAATAGGGGACAGAGGAAACAACTGCTACTTAGTTAACAGGCATGCTTAGAATACAGCATAAATGAGGAACAGGGATACAATAATACTGTATTAACCAGTGAAAAACATAGTCAGGTGTACACAATGGTAACATATGTTAGTTTTACCATACATGATTTTTTGTGAAATTTAGGGACACCATATCTTGCACAATCTTAGTACATAGAATATAGTTTTTGCAGTGAAGATGGCCTGCTACTTTACATGAAATAAAGAGGAGACATTGGATACAGCTTTTATATAATTATGTACACTGGCAACTAGGTGGTTATTTTGTTCCCCCATTTTATTCACATTGGTTTGCCTTTAAGATGTATGCATTCATTTTAACATTGCATATTTTATTTATGTGGCAGAAATGAAAAATGTCACAGCCAGTATCTTGACATGATAAATATTACCACTTAAGAGGCTGGCCATAACTCATTCATGATTTTATTCCTTTGCACTAGTTGGTCACTGTCAGTTCTGGAGAAATTTATCATCTTGCATCATTTCTCTATCAGAGAAACTATACTTCTAAAATTAATGCGTCAAAAGTCTGCCAGGCGGCTGTGGACCCATAATAAATACTATAATATCTTTCCAAAGATTCAACACAGTTCAAGTGAAGACATTTGTTGGCCTTCATGTGCCTGATGTTAGAAAATGGCACTTATCTATGAAGAACTGAACTGAAGCTTGTCATTCCAAATTATTTAATGAGGAACGCAGGAATTCAAGTTGAAACAAGGTAATTTTTGAAAAGTCTAGGGTCTATAAAGACATGCTGTGGAGAATAAATTGAAGATGAGCAAGTTAACTGAAATTGACTGTGAAAGTAAATGGTTTAACAATTTGTCTGAATCAATTGCTTTGCTTTTATTACACAAATGACCAGTGATTTGTTTGGAATCAAAAGACTTCAATACTTGCTAATGACATATCAGCCCATATAAATCAGAAATGAACACACCTGCACATTCTTCTGGTTTTTTCTTTCATTTTCTATTCTTGTTATTCATTTCCTTCTGTTTCTCAGGGAGTAATTTGTAAAGCTCTATTCCGGACATGGAGCCTTGATGGGACACTGTACTGTTCAGAGGTGGGGCAGGGATGATGATGAAACTTGCATTCCTGTCTAGTGATGTTCAACACTAGGAAAAGTAGCTTGTAATGTTCGGCATACTGCTTTCTCAATTGGCCACATGTGTGTTTGTTGTGAATGTGGTTTATTTTGTGCAGAATTTGATGTGTATTATGTTACAGCTGGCCATGATGTATGTTTTTCTACTAAGAAAGAAACCATGTTTTATAGATTAATTTGTTACTTGATAGTTATTAAATACACATAGATACTTGCTGCATATACAGTATTTCTCTGTTTGGCTTATAGTTTCCAGCATTGAGAAAGCCAGCTTTGGTCGGAAAACACTTTTGAGGTTAGTAAACATTTTCAACATTAAATCTATCTTCACGTAGTACAAAACATTGAGTTTACAACTAAATTATGGGCAAAAACTTTTGTCAAAATAGCAGCAAGGCTAATGACATTCGCCATTATATATGGATAACTGGTAAAGCAACTTCAGGGGAGCAGCAAAATGCACAGTTGAGTCTAAATATCAAAAATGTGATGACTGAGGTGTGCCACTCTGCAGTTAGCTTTGCAAAAATCTTTGTTATAGAGTCTCCTTTATTAGGAGCATGCTGTATTTGCCCACTAATTGCCCATTAAATTTGCCACAGTAAGTTCTGAACCATTATGTTGTTTCCAAATTACTGCTATTTTTAAAGCAATTTCCCCTGATTTGAACACAGGTTTATAATCAAGAATTTCAGAAGTAAAATCTACAACAGGTAATCACTGTAATGGAAGAAATATCAATCACATATTATTCTTTCTCTATGCTGTATTTGCTACACTGGCAGCAGTGCTGCAACCACCACAGAAAGGACACACATCAAGCACTCTTCTATGTTGAAATGGATCAATATAGTTATTTCAAATGTTATGCACCCTGACCTTGGGAGAAAATTGGCCTTGTGCAACAGTATTAATTCCATTTGTTTTTGTTTGGCCCACCAAAGATTTAGTGTTAGTATTATTTAGTATTGTTGCCTGCTTCTACCTCTGAAAATTCACCAAAGCCAGGCAGACTGAAGAAAGTCATTTTTTCTCAGTGTTGGAAATGCAAACACACAATGCTTTTGGCGCACTCAGTACAATTGGAGACAGGGCAGCTGCAGAAAGATGCCTTGAAATTGGCAAGTGTGTTCAGATACTCAGCATGGAGTAGGAAAAGTCACACTGGGTTGCAGGTGTTTTTTTTTGAGACCGAGGGAAGTGGTGGATTTTTCTTATTTTAGAATCATCTAAATTAGCTTTCAACTTAAATTATCTTGACGACTAAACTGAAAGACATTTCTCTAGGATATAGAGTTGGTTTGAAAGCAGGAAGGAACTTGCAAAATATCACAGACAATTCAGGGCATCAAAGAGTCATCACTGAGGAGCATTCTGGGACAAGTCGGCTCAGTGACCACGGCTGAACAGCGGATTGTGGAAAAACCTGGTGTCAAGGAACAGTTAGCCCCAAACTAAGCAATTGGTAGGAGCAAGCAATTCGTAAAACAAATAAGAATCAACGATGGAGAAGTAAACAGACAACTGCCACATAAAATCTGAGAATTTTCTTTGCTTTATAGCAATAACTGGCAAGTTAATGAGGAAGATTTTCCAATGTTTTGTGGAGATAAATTATGATAGGAATGGGGGAGGCATAGAGAGAGAAAGAGTTGACAACAAGCAAAGTGGAGACATGATCAATTCCTTGGCAGTAAAACACAAATTATGAAATCCGGAAAATATATCAAGAGAATTTCTGCTTACCTCTAATTGGTCAAGTCAGGGCAATCATCCAATAAAGAGACTCAAAGCTGGAAATAGGACTTAACATATAGGGATTTGAGCATGTTACCGCAGAGCCATTAAAGTGTTGATTTATCTGTGTTAAACAGCTGTTTGTTCGAATTATGTCGCAATTCAAACTTCATTCAATATTTCCCCCCCTTGCCATCAAGCAAATTAATCCTTACCTTTGTAGCTAATGAGTGTGTAGCACCTGCCTCAAGCAAAATGGAAGCCACATCTTCCTGCCCCTCCCTGGCAGAAATATGTAGTGGAGTGTAACCATTTGTGGTGCAGGCATCTGGAAAAGCCATATGTTGCAGCAGCAGTTGCACAATCTCAGTTTTACCCAACCTTGAGGCAATGTGTAAAGGCGTCTGATCCTCCTGGGTGATTAAATTGGAACAAACACAAAACATTACAGTTCTGTCTGCAGGATTCTAAGCAGAACAACACAATCTCCGGATTTGTCTTAAAACTGAAAAATAATTTAACCAAAAAAGAAAAAAATCAGTTTTGTGATTGAATAGTCATAGAGATAAACGGCATGGAAACAGACTCTTTGGTCCAACTCGCCCGTGCATAGAAATAGTATTTTCAAAGGCTTGACTTATTTTAAATAGATATATCAAAACAGTGACTACATTTGTTACTTATGGACAACAGTTCTGAATTAACTCCATCTGTGGTCTGTGTTGTTGAGTTACAAACTGGTGTTTGCAACAGAAGCTCTATACACACACACACTGTGTCCAATTTTCACATTAAAATTGGAAGCCCATCAATTTCAGATAGGTGTCCTGTTGTAAGCTCAAAACATTGCTGAATCTGGAAATGAACCAGGAAACTGTGGGAATGTCTTAGAGCAGCTGCTTTTACCTATCACCTATCTTGACTTCTGTTAGGTTCACAAAGTTAAAATCTGATGTTCAGTTATCACTGCTCTACGCAGAAGAATCGTGTCAGATCTTGGGCTGGTTTCTTCTACAGGACTTTACAGAAATAGTGTTTATAAATTCAGTTCTTCTTTCCCCTTATTCTTTCCCAGAATTTTTTTTTAATGATTCACTTTGATCAGCAATGACTAACTGTAGTCACAGACAAGGTGCTACACCAAGGGAGACAGGTGAACCACGGTAAAGGGAAGAAAGTCAATATGGAAATTCAACTGAGAGAAATAAAAATTTCAGAAGATTACTCATATTGACACCAACTCTTCTCCTTCTATATAAGATCACTTCAAATTAAGCCATAAAATAATATGTTTGGAGTGGAGTGTGGCTAATTACCTCATTTTCAAGTAATTGGCAGATATAACCAAGTTTCTTTTGTTCAAAAGATGTCTTCTTCATGTTAAATGTTGATCAATCATAGTGTGCTTTATTGAAGCCAATTTCATATTGAGCTGTCTATAGAAATTGAAGTTACTCTGGATTTGTTGCTTTAGCCTTGATATGCACTCAACAATCTTTAACCACTGCTTAGCAGCATATTGATTAGTGAACAATTCAGTGCACAAGATTGAACTCCTACCTGTACTCAATACCATTCATGGAAATTACAAAGGAATACTAATCAATAACAAATATACAACAATTTGGGGGAGGTGTTTTTTCTTCACCTAAACACTCTGCTTTGGTTGTGAAATCTGCCCGAAAGAATTATTTCAGCAACCTTGCTTTTTACAATGCTAATTCACCTTTTTTAATCACTAAAAAAAACTACACAAAATATGTGCCACATGTGTAACAACTTATGTTGCAACATATGACAGTAAATTTGTTGGTGGCTTCAAAAAAACGTGGTTGAAAGAAATTTTGGCATTGCTCCTTCCTTAAATTGTATTCTTTAATAAGTTCTTGCTGTTGTTTCTTGATGCCATGTTTCCTAAGATAAGATGTTGTCAATGAGCATCAATGCTACAGTTAGGGACATAAGGGTATGGAAGGAAGATCAGGTTTGGTGGTCTAACATCTTCCCTAACTAACAAAGGCTAGTTTTATCTGATTATGCACCTCTAGCACATAAAAGTATGCACTGGTGGACATTTTTGTACAACAATTTGTTCTTTTTAAAACACCTTTGGTCAGTATCAACATCTGCAATGGCAACAATAATAAATACATTCATACAGTGTATTTTCAAGACACTTACTCTGGCTTTGGCATCCACGAGGGCCCCATTGCGCAGTAGGCAACGCACGACTTCCACTTGTCCAGCTCGTGCAGCCATGTGCAATGCAGTTTCTCCACGCTGAAGAAACAAGAACAGTTCATAAGCAAGCAAGAGAGAATCATTACTATTGTAGCTTTAACAGAGAGGTCCATCTCCATTGTATTCAAGAATAAATCATCAAAGGCAGAAAAATACAGCAACTGATTTGTTTGTAAAATCACTTCAAATAGTGAGGTACATTTTCCAGATTTCTACCCAAGAAAATGGTTAAGAACAATGAGAATTAAACTGGACAAACTGTGATGTCCTTGAAATCTAAAGGTATTCAACTCAAATAATCTGTGTCTTTTAGCTCTGTGTGCACAGATCAAGGAGACTAAAAATTGGATAACAGTATTAGCCAATGCCCATTGACTGCAATCAAGGCAGCCCACCATCTTCACTCTGCCTGGTCATTTATATCGGAACACAAGAATTAGGAGCGGGAGTAGGCAATCCCGCCCTTTGAGCCTGCTCAATCATTTAACATGATCACGGCTGATCTTATCTTGGTTTCAAATCCACTTTCCTGCCTGATCCCAATAGCTCTGTATTCTGCTTTTCATCAGAAACATATCTGTTTCTTCCTTGAATCTGTTGATTGATTCTGCCTCCACTGCGCTCTTGAGCAGTGACTTCCACAGATTCACAACCTTCTGAGAGAAGTAGTTTCTCCTCATCTCAGTTTTGGAACTACCTCCTCCCACTCTAATATCTATGACCTCTTATTCGAGACTGTCCCACAAGGGAGAACATCTGTTCAATATCCACCTTATCAATCCTGCTTAGCATTAAATATCCTTCGATCAGATCCCTCCTCATTCTTCTGAATTCCAGCAAGTTCAAGCCCAAGCTATTCAACCACTCCTGGTATGACAGCCCTTTCATCTCTGGAATCAACCTGGTGAACCTCCTCTGAACTGCCTCCAGTGCCACCACATCCTTCTTCAAATAAGGAGACTAAAACTGGACACAATACTCCAGGTTTGGTCTCACCAATGCCTTATATAATTGTAACAACACTTCTTTACTTTTCTAATCCATTTAAATGACACCCACATCCTACCAGTGCTAACTCCACTATAGATCAGTAGGTGCAAGAGAAGTAGTAGCTGCAACCACTCAAAGATGGCTCACATGGCTTAAAGCTGGTCTGGATCTCTTAAACAGGAGCTCATTGGGATTGAAGTAGGTTGTGGACGAAAACAAATCTGATCTGAGAAAGAGTAAAGGATATCATAACAGGGGAAAGAGTGGGTACCAAAGCTTATGGACACTGCAATGCAAGTCCTGTTGAGAGAAGCAGAAAGGAGGAGAATGCCCTACATCTATGGGACAGAGACCTTCAAGGGAAATAGAAAAAGCAGAGGGAGATGATGGTCCCATGAAGTAAATGCTCCAAGAATCAGAAAGCAAAAATTTCAATGATCTCATAAGAGTAGTGAAGTTCAGTGAATGCATCTTCAAATGTCAAATCTTCCCATAAGCACCAGGTCTTATCCGATGATCAGATCGTGCCCATCACTCAGCTGCTTAGCTATGTCAGCTGTACAAACCAAACCAATTGCACCACAGTTACTGTCCCGCAAGAGAAGGATCTAAGTCAGTGTAGTCTACAACCAGAAATACAGGAGTTAACCAGAAGGAAAGAGACATCCTTACCCCTAAAGCAGATAGTGCTGGCCAATAAATGGACATTAGTGAGACTGTGGTCAGTTACAGGGTAAAAAAAAGACATTGAAAATCACGGAATCCTTATGTCTAGCCTAGCTTCTTATATCGCACTAGACCTTCATTCCACTGTCCCAAAAACCATGCAAATGGTGGAAGAGCTCATGTGGTGTAGTGGCAGCGTTCCTATCTCTAGGCTAGAAGACCTGGTTTCAAGTCCCACCTGCTCCAGAGGTAATGCCATAACATCCCTGAATAGGTTGATTAAAAGTACCTTGAGTTCCAATTTAAAAATAGTTAAACCACTTACTTTTTCATCCCCACTTCTCAACTTTATCCTTCTGCCTTCTTCCTTTCAGAAAGGAAAGGAGTACAATGTGTTCAAGTAGTGGAAGAACAGCACAAGAGAATGTTAATAAAGATGCATCATGACTCACTCTCAGACCTACAGCTACCAGTTCAGATAGTGATGCTGCACAAATGTACAAAGTTACGTTGGAGAAGATATGTGTGCCTGTTCAAACAATGGACCCGGGAGACTGCAGCAAGGCAGAGTACAAGGACAGGGAACTATATATACCAGGTCGTGTTGTTCACAAAGACTCAAATGCAAACTTTGATGGTACAGTTTCCAGAAGAATGCTGATAGAGTGCAAAACAAAAGACTTGATACACAAGGAGATTTCCAGAAAACTTAGAGTCACTGTCAGGAGACATGGAGGACTCCAGCACTAGCTTGGCACAAGGTTTTGCATACAGCATCTAACATTCACGTACTGGTCAAATCTGTTTCCACTTGTGGATCTAACTACGATGCAATATTTAATAACTTGATATTACCATTTCTATTGCTGAACATGGAGCAACCACCCAGCATCTGAGTGCTACACTGGTAGCTTAGGCTGCTATCATAAAAGAATAAAATGCCACATTGCAAGATCAAACTGTTACTATCAGATCTGTGGATTACAACAAGCAAAGGGATATATGGGGTGTCACAGCAATCTGTCCACCAACAGAGGTTGGCCAGGGAAGTGGCTATACTCCTCCCTTTTTCACCTCCCTCCCACTCTCAAGCTAATCCTGTATGTCTTTCAACATGCCTGGCCACCACATTACTTTTGTGCTCCTGCTCTGCTCTTTGTGTCACCTAGATGTTGCCTGTGGAACTTCTGTAGGATTTCTCTTTGCACAACTTTGGAATGACAATTCTACGACCATATGTCAATAAACCTTCCAATGTTGTCAAGTGTTGCTTTTGCTCTCAAGTACTCTTCATCACTTGGTCAACTGGATTACATTTTGATGAGGCTTTCAGACACTTATCTCACCTGTGTGACCTCCTTACCAGGTTTTTAAGATGTACGAATTTATCAAAGTGAACCTCCACCTACTAGAAATGCATTTTCTATTGCCATAGAATAAGACTGTACTCCTTCCACAAGCCGAAGATTTTACATGTTTGGTGTTTAGATGCTCAACAGGGAATCAGCTATTATTTGTATCTTGCCTAGAACATAGATCATTCAATAGTCATATCTCTTCAGCATTAGCCTGAATTTTTGCATGTGTTAGGTATAAGAGATTTTTTTTATTACAGTAATGTTTCCAAAGCTTGTGGTCTATCGCAATCTGGAATTTCAGCCCCTGGAAATAGTGTGTGAATCTTCAACATTCCCACCCAAATGCTAATGATTTTTTCTCTGATTCCATACCTCCATTCAATCATCAAAGCTCTAAAAATATAAAACTGAGCAATTTTTGTATCATTCCATCAATGTGTGCTTGAATAAGGATTGCTCCAAGTACTATGGTAAAGACACTTGTGGCTACTGTAGTGAATAAGTCTGGATTGTATGCAACATGTTTAAAAACTTCAGTCAAAAGCAGCTTCTCCTTAGTCTTTGCAAAAGCTTAAGTCTGACTTCAATACCATTGCAGGCCTTTTTTCAAAACTTCTCTAATGGGTTCAGTAAGACCAACTATGTTGGGAGTAAGCTTTCCCATGTGATATTATAGCACTAAGAATTTTAATAACCATTCATGGAATGAATGAATCAACAAAAGATAAACTGTTACACACAGATAGAAGCAGCAATAACTCTGTCTAGAATAAACTAATAAAGACAAGGACAAACTTATACAGGAATTGAAAGTCATTCACCATGCCTGGGAGTTGAGATTATATAAATAAAACTGCTTTGACACTTGCGTGATAAACTGGATGCAGTTTTTGCCACAAATGACAAGCATTGCCCTGCAGAAGAAATTAACGAATTAATCACAGGAAAGCTGTGTCTTCGAGAAGTTAGGGCCAAATGTAACAAGGAACAAGAAGAAGTTACTTCTGAAAAGGAAGCAGGCTGCAGTCTCAAGGACTCCAGGAGAATAATCAATATCTTGGATGAAAGAACTTAAAACAATCATCAATAATATCGGATTCTGGACCTGAAGGATGAAAATCCAGATAAGAATCAAACATCAGAATTCCTCCTTTAGCAGAACTTCAAAGAATAACACTGCACAAGGATCACACCCTGGACACTTCCAGAGTCAGGCACTATTGGTGGAATTGTGGCCATTAATCGGGTAATAGCCAAGTTGAGTTGTGAGGTCTCATTTTGGTTGCTACATGCAATTAAGTTTAAATTATTGTTTCAGTAATCGTTTGTCTGAGAGATTTCTTAATGAGTAGCTGAATTAAAGGTAACTTGTGGGTATTTACTCACGACAGCCATTTAATTCATTATGCCTAATTAGTGCTGTGCACCATCTGCACACTTCTGTGCTAGAAATTCACTGATAGCTATTGTGTTACTTGGATCCACTGTGATGCCTTGCCCTCAGATAATGTACCATGTGAACACAAGTGTCATTCTGGAGAACCGTCATTTCTCATTTCTTGTACTGCAATTTGCTGTGCCTTTTACATGTCCCTGACCGTCCTATCTTCATTTTATCGTGCAATTTAATTTCATTCGTATGAAAACTGTTCCCCGTTTCCACTCCGGGATTCTAGGCTTTGCATTTTGGAAAATTTCTGATGGACATGAAATCTTAAATTGTTGACTGTTGAAGCAATAGTGCCGGAATGGTACAATAATTGTAGTCACAAATCTCGACTCTTGATGCAAGGACATCTACACCATAGCCCACTTACTGCATATAGGTTTGTGAAGAATTGTGGAGATCTCCATTTGTATTGGGAATAGTTATTAGTCCTAAACATCACCTTGTTTGTACTGTCACTGATGATTTGACCCCATTCTCAATCAAGCTGTCTCACTGAGATTTCACTTTCTCCATCAAAAGATGATGAATGCTCTAGGAAGTGTACAAGTAGATGGCGTTGGCATCTTCTTAGAGAGTAATGTGATACTCCTGCTTCAATTTGTCCAAATTAAACAGTTTTGGAGATTCTTACTGAAATTCTCAGTCATCTTCATTCTGAAGAACTGTATCCACTTTAGAAACCCAGATAAACAAATACATTTATGCCCAACACAGCCTACAGCATTTCCGCTGCCACTCTTCCCTCCCCTCCACCACTGCCTCCAAAATTCCTACCCTTGAACCCAAAAACCCCCAACCAGACCTGGCATCCACTCCATGTCAGTCTGGACATCCTAACACAAAAGCTGCTCCCCCACCTCCAATTGCTGACTGGACATGACATCCTACCCACCATCCAAACAATCCACCCATCCTTCTGGATCTGACGGCACCTCCATGACCTGACAATACTTAATAGCCAGAGTGAGAATGGAGCTGTGCATGTTAGCACAGCACTGTACCCTCCAAATTTGTTGAAATGCTTAGTTCTTTAGTGGTAAAAAGAAGCCATCCATATTTCAGGGTGTTGCCATTCATTTGCTGGGTGTTTCACAGGACAACAAACAGTGGCACAGTGGCCCTGTTCTTCTGCAATAAACCTTTTCCTGCGTTAATACGGAGTTTTCTCTTCTTCATCTTTGTGTTTTCAAGAGCAACAAAGTACAAAAATCAGTATAGAAGCAAGTAAACCATACTTATTAATTTTCCAGTGACTCTTGTTCTCGGCCAATATTTTACCTTCACAGAAATCTGACAATTTAAGTTCCTTTCCTTGTTTCAGTATTTTAAAAGCAAAATTGTATTCAGAGCCAATTGTGTGTTTCTCATTTGTAGCTTTCATTGAGCGAATCAAGAAGCTCTTTGTTGCTGGATCGTTATTTGTTAAAATACTCTGGTGAGTTAGTCCTGGTTAGTGTGATCACACGTCAGTTACATTTGTTTTCCAAGATCTTCAGATTCACCACATTCAACTTTAACAAAAAGTAAAATACAGCCTGTAATGTATTTCTAACACCGTGATATATTTTTATCTACCTTTTACAATCATACTGTGGACCTGCTGAGAAAGGATAGTCTTGTGCTTTTGGGTGTAAAACCAGATTAATGCGCAGTGAATCCTTTTCACAATATCTGCACAGCTCGAAATGGTGATGCTTGTATGCAACATCCTGCTAAGCATTAATAAGCAGAACTAGTTTATCTGGAACCCAAATCAATGGTGACTGGATACTTGGGTGAGTTTGATCAATAAGGAAGAAGTGTGAAAGTCATCCTGTAAGGTATGAAGATAAACCTTCCCTGTTCCTTTCACACTGTAGTTATTTGTCAATGAGAGCACACAAAAGAATGCATTTCAGACTTATTCATGCTCTCATTGTTTCCAATGGAGAATAAAAAAAAACTTCTAAGTGATGCAATATAAAGGAATTTTTTTTAAAAATCCCAGATCTTTTGTTACATAATCTGCTTTAATGAAGGCTAGCCATACTTACAATGTTAGAAACATCTGGAGACGCTCCATTCTGCAGCAAAAGGAGAACTATATTCAAGTGGCCCATGAAGGCAGCCACATGTATTGGTGTAAGGCCAGACTGTGAAACAAAGCAATTACATTTTACTCCTCTGAAGGGGCTGCAAATTATTTTAAATTGATGCAACAGAGGCTATGAATAGGTTTTAAAATTTCTTTCTACCTCTGTTATGGCTTGTATTGAGGCCCCGTATTTCACAAGAAGTTCCATCACTTTAACACGGTTTTTCTTACATGCAATATGCAGTGGAGTAAAGCCATTCTGTATAAAAAAAAACACAATCAGGTTAGTGTTTACATTAAGCACGAACACAAAATTGTCAATCCAAGATCATGCACGCAAATCTCATGTTAATTTAGTCAGGATCCCATCATCTAAGGCTGTGCTTTAAACTAAACCTATTGGCTTGAGAGTTGTAGATGTAAAATTAGTTACGGTCAGACAGTTCATAGTTCGATGTGGGACCAGGCAGCATGAACAATTAGGTACGGGGAAAGATCTGCACACATCTGCTTCTCCACGTTCAGTCATATCCAAATCATGCCAAATGTCAAATTTATCGATGGTATAGGCAGGAACAGTTCTTGAAATTTGTCAAACCTCTTTTCTCACCATTTTTTAAACTTGGGGCTAACACTGCAATCAAGTTATATACCATGCGGTGTCAAGCACAAGCTGAGTACGGGTTTCTTCAAGGGCATCTAAAATTGCTTGCCTTTGGATAGTCTGGGACCTGCCACTGGAATAATTTAGTCAGCTTTGTAAGGAGGAACCTGTCACCGGTTTTATTAATCTTTTTACCAGTTAAGGTCACAGTAGGAATGATTTTCTCTCCCAAAGCAAGTCTGACCTCTAATAAAGTCTCCCTATGTAACCCTTCACAATCACACTCCCCCACTAACTGCAGTGCATGCTGTTTCTTCATAACCACTCTCTATCACAACTGACAGTTACAGCCTGACCATATTGATTAAAAATGACATTCCTACAAGTCAGTCATTCTCTGTTCAGCAACACAATGCACACAGTAAAAGCAAATTGTGTACGACAAATGGGAAAACTTAATTCAGCATAATTCTATCAGGTTGACTCTGTTCAATTGTAGAGGGAATCAAAATAAAAATATTCATACACATGCGCAGAATGCTCATGTCCAGAATTCTTTACTACATTTTTATTTCTTAAATCAGTTACTCCTTGAAGAAGCGTACAATCTGGTAGATAAGTGTTATACTAATGTTTTAAATGAATCTTCAGAGCAGTTGTTACAAGTTACCCAGTCCAAAGAGATTGACTGGCAGTGGTTACAATAATCTCTTTGATTATCTTAGATCAAAGAGGAACTTTCCAAAATTGTTACTAAATTGACTTCAGGTACTTTTTTTCCCCTGGGTTTGTGTGTCTTGGGAGACTGGATTACAAGGGAACTAGTTGGTGTTGTATATGGTTTCATCACATCTGAATAGGATGTAGTTGATGGTCCAGATCATCTGCTTCCTTGTTTTGTTTCATAGGTTTGTAATATTATGAGTTAGAAACTGTATATAAATCCAAACTTTAACAGAGTGACAGTAGGAATAAAAACAAAAAGTGCTGTAAATATTCAACAGATTTGGTAGCATCTATGGAAAGAGAAATAAAGTTAACATTTTGCATCAATGATCTCTCATCAAAACTGTTCTGATGTTAGGGTCTTCTCTCTACACTGAGCTGCCTGACTTGCTGAGGATTTCCCAATGTCTGCAGTATTTTGCTATTGATAGAGGTCATATATTGATGATCATTAACAAGCTATTATGCAATTTCTGAGGAATAACATTATTGCCAGATAGAAATGTAATAATTTTAGCTTAAGAAACATTGTTAGTTACAATTTTAAAAGGGATTACCAGCCTTCAGAGTGCTCGCTTGATTTTTCTGCGGCATCGATTTGCAACAGTTGTGTGTTAAGAAAGGGTCATGGAACTCAGAAATGCACATGATCGATAAACACTTCTCATTGAACGTACATTGCGGTTTTAGGTTAGATGTTATTGCTGGATCAATTAAATTATTTAGACGAATTCACATCTGAAGAATCTTGTTGAATAGTCCAAATTAAAAATACATCTGTTTCATGGAACTTTTTCATTTCTCGTCTTTACCAGTCACTTAACTGTGCTTTTATAACAAGAAACGTTTCTTTCAAATTTATTTATTCATTTATAATCCACCACTCGGAAAATCAGAAAGCCCTAAAACACCTCACAACCACGTTAAGTACTTCTGACATGTAGTCACTGTTACAATGCAAGAAACTCTAATCTGTAAAAATACCACAGTGGTGGAGATATCATAAGACTCGATTCAATTCCAAACACTCCAAGATGTGCTTTTGGATATAGGAAAAATCGATACTTAATTTCAAATTGCATTTATCTCATTTGCAATAGACAATCTAACATTTAGATATGACTGGTTCAGCAGTCAAACACAAAACAAGTAGGGAACGAGTCTTATAGTAACTTACAGATCCCTAGGAGGTTGGTACTGATAAGAGGCATTACCTTTAACGTTGCAGCTAATAGTGATATTTATATCTGGTGGATAATTTTGATTGCATTGATTTGGATTTATGAATTTTCAAAGGAGATGGAATTTCTCATGTGGCGCCCGAATTACTGAATGGTCATATTATCATTCAGCTATTGGCAGCACACCATTCATAACTACAGTGTTGAGGAGAATTTTCCTGGTTCAGCCTCAATTTTTTTTGGAATGGGCTATTTTCTATAACGTGTGCCACACTGGTGACATTATTCATACTTTCACAGCCTTAATGACTTACAGCGTGCAAATACAGCAGCTAACTTGCATAGAGGGCAGTTCCACAAACATGAACAATTGGATGATCAGTTACACTGTGAAAATCTCACTTGAGGGATGGATGTTGGCTGGTACACTGGGACAACTTTATGTGAAAAAAGTGCTATTGGATCTTCAACATCCACATGAACAGGAATCTGACAGTTAGCATATGAATAATTAACCACAGTTGTCCAATATATAACTACTTATTTGTGAAAGTGGATAAGTGCAAAAAGAAATAATTTAAGCTTAACAGAGTAATCTATAACAGAATACAATGTGCAGAAAATATGAATCTTAATGCTAATTTCATCCACATTATATTTGATGTATGTCACATGTATGCTTAACATACAAGTTGATTCTTTTAACCCCACTTGCTACAACATTCTTCTTGTTGTGTTAATTTTAGCAGAATATTTACTGTAAACATCTGCTTTACATTTGCACTGACCAATTCCATGAAAATCAAAATAAACCACAACCTTAGCTGCGACCTAAGAGATGGAAAAATTGTTAAAATCAAGAAAAAGATGAAAGAAAAACCAAAGCTAAAACTCCATGCTTGAGAAATTAATATAATTATATGGTATGTTAGCATCATGATGGGCTGCACCATGAGATCAACTTTGTGCACACAGATTCAATTTGACACGGCAATCTAATGGTGGGACCATTTAGCAGCTATGCACTTCCATTTAGAAATGAAAAGAAAGTCAGGCTAAGGAGTCCTGGCAGCTTTTTCTAGTGGCCATTATAAATGAGCATTAACTAATCCTTGAGAACAATTTGCAGAGTCTTCTTGTTTGAACTAAAAGAAGGCAATGGGAGATGTAGAGACAACTCAGTAAGATAAGCACACCTTTTGATGCGATAATTTTCAATTATGTTGTGCAATTTTATGGATAACGTGAAGTAGATTATAACTTTTGATCATAACTGTATACATAGCACAAATAACAGTAACGGTGCAGCTCTATAGTCACCTGCCAACCTTTTGATGTCAGCTCATGTATAGTTCAATAGAATAATTTATTTATTTTATGCTAGAATTACACTCACCAGTGCCCGAGCATTAGGATTGGCTCTCTTATCCAGTAGTAGTTTGGTGGCCCTGTAGTGACCACAATGAGCAGCAACGTGTAAAGCAGTGAGATAGTCTAGAGTGACATCATCAACAGGTGCCTTATGCTGTAGCAAATGCTTGACACATTCCACATGATCTCCCTGTGCAGCCATATGGAGAGGGGACAAACCATTCTGTTTGCACAAGAAGGAAGAAGACATTGAGAAAAGGTTATTATTTATCAATCTCTCACTCAAATTTGGGGTAGATTTTGTTTGGGGCAGAGGTATTGAAGGATCCTAATCATCTACCCTAACTTCGGGGAAAAGTTTTCTTTGGCACAAGAAGTAGTTCCAAAATAAAAAGCTGAAGTTTCTCTGGGCTTCTGCTGATTGTCTGCTTAACTGACAGAGATAGATCAACACAACCCTCATATAAATGGAACGGGGGATACGCTCATAGAGGAAAAAACAATTTTGACTTTTTTCAGAAATGCATTTATCAATTTGAGGGCCTGCTGTCATTTCAAGATCTTGGGGTAGAATTTACACAATGGCTCTCATGGACCACAAGAACTATGGCTGGACAATATCTGGAGAAATGACAAAGCAAACTGTTTCTCAAGAGGATTAGCCGAAGTTGCAGCGGCAGATTAGAAGAATCCCATGGAACTCACCAGCGCTCATCCAAAAAAGTGCAACGTTAAAATCTGCAACAAAGTGATTGAATCTATTGGTTGAAATTATATTTCTGTTTTAAAACAAAATTTGGTTGTTGATTCACACTGAGAAGCAGCTGGGCTCAAGTTAGACTGTGACAAAGTCACATGTGACTATTTACAGAGTGACCCCTCTTCTTTTACAACTTCAATTATTAAGCAGTGTCAGTTTATACAATCAATGGTAAAATCATTCAACTTGTTGATTAGTAAAGACTAGGAAATTGTTCCAACAACTTAGTTGGACATTGCTCATTTAATTATTTATTCTGTCTACCTGTCTAAATAAGTGTGATATTACTTTTTAAAAGGAACAGCATTCTTATCTTCAAATACCGTACTGTATTACCATTTCATGTGACATCTGTATACTGACAGTAAGGGTCAATCAAGAGCAAAAGACTTATTTGATTTTATTCACTGCTGTGTTCCTGAGATGCTGAAGCAAGCTATTCTACTGCATCCTTCAAATCAAATAATTCTCATTAAGTTAGAAATTGAACCATGGACATTTTAAGACGGTACTTTTTGGTTCCGACTCACAGACATTCTCAGTAAGAACCTTAGTTCATAAATTTTAACACCAAATTAAAATGAAACCTGAGCATTTGGTCAATACAGTACAACCATTGCTGTGGCATGAACTTTTTTACTGCAAAAGGACATCAGAATAGCACTTCTCCTTTAAAGTCACTTTGATGACCATCACAGCATAGGATAACATTTAGGACAGGTAACATAGAATCACAGAATTCCTAGAGTGTGGAAGCATGCCATTTAGCCCATCAACTTCACACTGACCCTCCAAAGAGAATCTGACCTAGACCTCTACCCTATCCCTGTAACCTTGCATTTCCCACGGCTATTCCACTTCGCCTGCACATCTCTGGACACTATGGGCAAGGTAGCATGGTGAATCCATCTATCCTGCACATCTTTGGACTGGGGGAGGAAACTGAAGCACCCAGAGGGAACCCACACAGACACAGGGAGAACGTGCAAACTCCAAACAGACGGTTGCCTGAGGGTGGAATTGAACCTGGGTCCCTGGCGCTGTGAGGCAGCAGTGCTAACCACTGTGGCACCGCGTCACCCAGAACTACAATGAACTACAATGCCAAACTTCTCCAAATTACTAAGTTCATATGATATGCCGAGTATACATTTTTAAAAAGAGATTGCTATAATTATTCTCTAACCTTCACAAGTTGTTTTTCAGTAGGAGAGGAATTCAGGGGAGTATGTTGGATTAACACTATGCTGAGGGAGTCCAACGCATTTAAGGTTAACATCAAACATTCCCAGTTCGAAAACATCATCCAGACTTCACTAAATAATGAATTTACTAGGCATGATTCTGAAATGCATATAATTAAATCGTATACTACACAATACGGCACACTTAGGTACCTTTGTCCTGGCGAGCATTGGTGCTCCCCTTTCAAGCAGAATCTCTACAGCTCCATCATGTCCACTCCTTGCAGCACAGTGAAGTGGAGTTAATCCATCCTGATGGAAAAGAACAACACAGTTACAACACATACTGCAAGATAACTAGCTCAAACTTTACTCGTATGTAAGAATTTGCAATCCAGAAAAATAAAACTATTGTGACAAATAAACTGTGAAATTTGATTATTTAAAAATGAAATCCCACTTAAGTTTTAAGGCTCCAGGCAAAATAATCTTATTGGAAATAGAAAATTCACTTTCAAAATTTTGAATAGGCCCCTTCTATTTTGTTGCCAATTTTAAGCTGCTCTCTATACCTATAAATAATCAGCAGCTCTGTTAAGGTTCAACTCATGGTATTGATTAACAGAACAGTTCAAATAGTATAAGATTTAGGAGATGGAGAAGATCATATCATAATTGAGCCTGCTCTGCTATCGATACAAGGAAAGGACAGTTTGATGAAATCAGCAATCAAAATACAAGGAGGAGATTTAGAATGCATCCATCAAGTCATAATGGCTTTCAAGTCATAATTTGTTTTCTTTTAAACCTTGGTCTCTATTGCTTTACAGCTTTGAATTATCTTTTACCTAATGAATACACATCAAATAAATAAATTTAGTTCTTCTGAAAGTAAACAGCAACAATCCAGGTGAGTTAGGAAGAGACATGTCAAACTAAGAGTGCTATACTACAGAACCTACTGGAAACTAACTTGCTTCTTATGTTTCACTACTCGAAGAATGGTAACATTTTTTCTCTTCCTCTTGGATTGTTTAAACACAATGCAGTAGCACTGGCTAGAGTATGTTAAATGTTAACATTTAAAGAGGAAGATGTTAGACTGTACAACAATATTGTTAGTGCTGATTAAAGGCAGGAATTAAGGACAGGATGAACCATAAAACAATGAAGTTGATGATAATTAGTTTTCAATTAAAGAAATTTTTCTGCTTATTTGTACTTGGATAATGGAAATAGTGATACAACTGCCATAGGTAAGATACTTAAGGTGAGCGTTTTGTGGGTACAGGCATAACAATGAAAGCAACAAATAATTACAATAAATAGCAAACAATAAAACAAACATTCAGCTAGAATAATACTGAAGAATCTTGATTTGAAAGGGGACAAATTATCATGTTATTGGGTCTTAGTTCCTCACAACAATTAAAATGTACCCTTTTCTGAATGCAAGTACCTGTAATATATCAATAAACAAATATACCAATCCCTGGATCAACAAATTATTTAGTCGGTGTTTAAATAATATTGCTATAAAATGGACTCCAAACATTATCCATAATTAGTCTAGTCCCCACTCAATTCAATGTTGGAGTGTAAAATAGGTTCCTGTCAATACAGTCTTAAACTCTGGCTGCATTACATAATAGTTAAATATGAACCAGTTCCTTTTGATATCAAGTTTTGAAATTGATGGAAAATTGGCCCATGTTATTACTATGAATACATTTGGTTATAGAATGAAATACAAGATCAGCTAAAGTGGAAAAAAGTCAGGATCCATTTAGAATATTCCTCACTATAACTTTACAAAGAAACAGATGTTACACAGATAAAAACTGTCCCCTTTGTATCTAACTTATTCAAGTAGAACCTGACATGGATAGTGGTTTTGCATCCCAGCCAATTTTATTTACTGTTTCAGTTAATGAAGAGAATATTAGATGGACATAAAATCAGTATTCCAACTTAGCTCGCGGGTTTTTAATCGAGCGAATTAGTTCAACTTACTTGCTTCTACATAGATTCTAAAATTCTCAGGAACTAAGTGGTTTATAACATGTTAATTTCCTCGTAAGGACCTTTCTGATTCTTCCAAAAAAAAAGTAGATTTATGGTACTACCTGCCTGTTAGTTTTCTCAACACTCCCCACTGTATGTAAAGACTCCAGCGGCAATAATGGCCACCAGACCCCATTAGTGTATTCCTGAGCACTCCAAGTTATAGAACACTTTGAAATCAGTAAAAAGCTCAGGAAAGCAATGAGGCGAATGTCAAAATGGGTGCTGAACAGAGTATGGATATGAATTAAGTGACAGAGATAAACACTGGATACTTTTCCCTCTGTTTGTATTGTAATTTTTCACATTGAGTTTTTGTTTTCCATTGTTAGCCTGTCGCACAGGATAGCTGGCACCTCCAAAAGATGAGAAATGTATGAATTTTGAGTGGAGGAGGAAGTGCCAATGGTCTTCCCCCTTCAAGGCACAGGACTGGCATGCGACAGCAAACCTACCTCATCAATGCCCTACAAACCCATTGCCATAGCAAACACATGGAATGCAGATAAAGCAAGAAAAAGAGACACCAACAATATCAAACAAAATCACTTAAGCAACATGTACACGAAGGATATATGTAAGCCACACATCATGTTAAAATAGTCCAAATGTACAGATAGGTGAATAATGAATACAGGTACTAAATACAAATCAAGGTGATAAAGTAAGGAAGTGCCTTCACATCACAAGGTTGTTCATTTATTTTTGGAATCTGTTAAAATTATTAATAATACTATTGTACCTATGCACATTTTTAAGCAAAAGTTAAATAGCATGATGCTGCAAGTATTTGTCCCTTTGTTATGCTAACATTTCACAATGCAAGCCACTTCTGAAGTAGGGGAAGTGATTTGCTTGCATTCAATGGAATGAAAATCAGGGGGATTTGCAAAAGGTAATTTGATCGAGCCTTTTTGAATAAAGTTAATTCTAAGGATGGCAATCAAACATCCCTAATGCAGCTAACCAGACTGAAGGTCATCAATTTGGGTCAGTTTGACTTCTGCTTTTCCTGGATTCACATTCCAAAAAATAAATAGGAGAGCAAAAGGACCCCTCCATTAGTAACATCCAGCAGGTCTTTTAAGGACAGACTGCATAGATTGGGAAAATACATTGAGTTTACTTGCAGTTTAGCAGAGCTGTGCTGAAACAGGCATTAGGCCTCAGTTTAGTATTGAGTGTTTATCACCCATTTTAAATGGGTACTTCAAGCACTCAGAATTCACTGGCTGCCAAATAGATAAACTTTCATCAGGGATTGGGCATTGGATGCACATCGCACTTTTTACACCTAATAATTGAAGGGGATGTATAATAATTGCTAGTGACAAGTGTCCACTAAACTCGCTGACAGAAAAAAATTGTGCATTATAAATATTTACTTTCTACCTTGATTTTCTATTAACTTTGTAATGCAATGGCTTTTTCAAAACGAGTCTTATTTGCCAAAGCAGACTTTGAAAAGTCTTTAAAGGAATTATGTGCAGTTTTAATATGATTTTCATCCTATCAGTGGTTTTTCACAGTGCACAGCATATTGGACAGAACATTCATTTGGTCGATATAAAGATGCACTGACTTGTGGCTGCATTTACTCTAACCTAGCTCCAATGAATTCGCTCTTATGTTAAAAAGACATAGCTCTTCCCAAGCTCTCAAAATGGACTATTCTGCAACAATGACATTGCATAAACTGCAGAAGTATCATGTAATAAGAAGTAGCAAATCAAGTAACAAAAACTCACCCTTGTCTTGGCATCTATCTGAGCTCCTCTATCCAGAAGCAGTTTCACCATATTGTTATTTCCTCGTTTGGAAGCAACATGTAGTGGAGTGATTCCATTCTGGATTGGGATTGGGGAAGGGTGAAGGGATACACAGTCATACATAAACAGAAATTACAAAGTAAGCACTTTATTAAAATGCAATAGTTCAATTCCAATTACATCACACTCTTAAAGGTTTTCTTTAAGTGAAAAAAATACAATTTTGGGAACAGAGAGAGATGTATGGATTACTTGGGGCCGTACCTCAATTAGTCTTACTCTGAGGATCCACATTTCTCACTTTTTTTTTTGACTCTGTTCACCTTTGCTTCACCTTCTGGCCAAATATTGCCAGTAACATGTAAAATGAAGCTTGAACATTCTTGGGAGATTTTGCAATTGTCTTTCACATTCTGGTCAACAGCGTGCATTTTGCCGTAGACATATGACACCCATGGGATACGGTTCTGCAGTCTAACCATTTTTTTTATGCACAAAGTACAATCATTCAAAGATTTCTAAAATAGTGATTTGCCATGTTTATCAAAGAAACTATGATACATGAATGATTTGAATCTTTCATAATCAAACAATGTCTAATAGCTTTCTTAAGTTAGAAAGACCCCGTCTATACATGAATCAGTGAACATGATGTGATACTGATTGATCATTATAATTTCGGTACACTAGAATTCTTAAGCTCCATGATGTATCTGCTGAAATTTTTCATGATCTTTCAAGTTTGCAGAAGTTCTGAGATTTTGTTTGTATGAGGCTTTATATGACTGTTTGTGTTCCTCTATTTAGGAGTCTTAATAATGATAAGTTCTCTAATATGAATTGACCTAGAATAATAATTATAGTAAGGAGTTGCCATCTTTCTTTCCTGTATGATTAATATGATCCATGCCCAGCAGTTGTGTTTCTACTTTTAGATTTGAAATCTTCATGAGGGTCAAAAGCTGTTGTCACTTTACTATAAGGTAGAATCATTCAGTGAATTTCAAAGTCTGATGCTAGATTTCTGTTTGTCGATGCTTTTGTACCAAACAATTAATGATATACATCTGGAGCTGAAGTAGTAGCAAAGGGAATCCATAACAATTTCTATCTCCAATAACAGATAATAAATGATTTGGACTTTGATTCATTCAGGATTAGTGAGTAGAAACTAGATGTGATTAAACATTTTATTTTTGAAAATTGCACCAATATTTTCTCATGCACCCAAATTTTGAAATTTTGCCTTTGAGAAATCTACTTAAGATAATTGATTCCAAGCATATTTGTAGTTTGCCATTCCTTATGCCAACAATTCCAGTGAAATCACTCATTCTGTTGGCTCATCCCAGTTGTTGCTTTGATGCAATCAAATTTTCTTTTATTTTGTTTTTCCTCACAATAGAAATGGTACATTTCTGAATGGATTGATTGGGAACAAGATTTGTTTATCAATTTAGCATTCCTCTGTAAGAAACTTAATATTTTGAAATTGATCCTTGCTGTCTTTTTTAATTTTATTGGATTGAATTTTTCAAATCAGATCTGAAGTAGTTTCGGTCATTTCTTGCACTTATCTAGAAGGCAGCTTCTAAATGATGTTTCTCCATGTCATTTTCAGCATACCTTTGTTTTCACTGGTATGTTTGCTGCTGCATTTGTTTTTTTTTGTCCTTGATCTCATCTAATTTAGATCTATGCTGTAGTTTCTTTTAACCTCACTCATAAGAAATAGTCACTTGTGCTCCTGCACCCATAGTAAATCATTTACTTGATTTGCAGATACAACATGCATGTAAAATTCACTGCAATTTTTCTTCAGAAAAAGGTTAATTTTCTTCAGTTCTGAGATCTACAAAAATTTTTTTATATATTTGCTATTTTTGTCATAATTATACAAGTTTAGACAATGGTTGCACTATTATTCCATGGAATTATCTTACATCCTGCTTCATCTAACTAATGCTGATTTTTTTTCTCTCTCTTCTAACTTTGACAGATCACATTTCAGTTTTCTTATTTTAATATTCTTTAATCCTTTACCTAACAATTCCTTGTAATGGTGCAATTTTTCTTAGGTAAAAGGTAAAGTTGTCATAGCACCAGAAGAGAGATAATTGATGATGAACTTTAACCTGAGTATCACCATGCCATAGGTGAGAGATGAGGTTGGGAAGGGGGTACTTTCATGGTGACCTTGTCCAGTGCAGGAATTGAACCCATACTATTGGCATCACTCTGCATTGCAAACCAGCCATCCAGTCACTGAGCTCACCAACCTCTACAATTTTCATCACTGCACAACTCTTTGGTGTAATACTGATCAATGGCGTCTACCATGTTCTAGGAATGCAAAAGAAAGTTGTGCTCTTCATGTCACATCAAATTTACTTCAGAACTACAGAGTTTATCTGGTTTGAGCTCAACAAAAAAGTAATTTGGTTCAATTTGTTGACTTTACTGCAATTTGACTTCTGAAATCCAGATGCCAATTGCCTATGGTCCACTGTTGGTCATTATAATTGCAAAAGTCAAGTTATAGATTGATTGAGTATTCTGGTGTTGTGCAATGGGGTACATTAAAGATGCTTTGTGTTATGATACACCATTTATAAACATGCAACTAATTGCCCATACTGACAGTGGAGGTCCATTGCCTTAACCTGCTACTTTCGTGTTCAGGCAATAATTCAAATGGAAACAGTGGACCAAGGGCAAAAAAATCTATACTGTCGGGCCAAAAGTATTAGGATAACGCAACAAGAAATTAATTAACATTGTCACTGATGTGCTGAATCAACATTTTTATTAAGTATAATGAGGTGCAACATACCAAGTCATCATGTTGACAATAACACATTTGGTTTAGTGACAGGCAGATTGGTGGGCTCCCATGCTGGGAACTGCACATGCTTAAGTCCAATATCAAAAAGCCCTGCAGATAGCATTTGCCAAATAGAACAAGCTACAAGATATCAGAAATTTGCTCTTCTGAAACATTGCTTTCCAGGATAGAGGGGTAAAATTATCAGAAAAGCCAGCTCCTCAATAGATGCACTGCTTTATTGATGGAAAGAGTACGCATTCTATCATATGCTCCCATCATAACTGGAGAACAGTCAGAGACAGAAAAACTGTATAGTTTTAAGTCGTAAACATAATTAAAATCAAAACCAGACTAAAAAAAATATACACTTACCCGGGCTGTGAAATCTACAGCAGCTCCTCTGTTTAATAGCAAAGTGGCTACATTTACATTTCCATAGTGAGCAGCAATATGCAGAGGAGTGAAGCCACTCTGTGAATAGGAGGGAAACACATTGAAAAACAAACCTGACCAGTTTATAAAGCTTGACTGCTCAAGTTCCTGATAGTCAGAACTCCAGCCAGACCCTTGTTCACCCGAAAGCATAGACTTACTGAGCAACTGCACAGCAAAAAGCTAACTCAAAATTTCCTGTTGGAATCAAAGCAACATCACGACTGGAATGGATAATGCTCTAAATTTTGTTTTCTTCCAAAATTATATTTGGGCACCTCTTTCTGATCATTAGTTGCATCCTGTGGCTATATTTGAACTAGGTAACAAAGCCTGGCGAGTTGCAATATGGCAATGGAGAGATTCCAGACCACACAAAGGTACACTTTGGACAAGTGCCTCTGATCTGTGGAGAGCTCACTTCCAGCATGGTCAGGATAAGCTTTCCATAAGTTTTCCACTATGCAAGTTAATAGAATAGGAAGATAGATTCATGTAGCAGGTGAGACAGATAATTTGCAAATATTGCCAATATACTATTTAATGGGTATCTGATTAGAAAATTATTTAATGTTGACAAACTGATATCTCATTTGGTGTTTAACTGAACGGTGAGGCAGATTTTGAACTGGTGTCAGATATTAGGGAAAGAGGTACGGTAAACTCATGTTTGAGTCCGGCTGCCTATTGATGCAAGATCATGTTACTGTCTTATTAAATTATTGCTCAATAATAATGCTAGGCCCACAGGGAGTGCATTGAATTCACGGATATAATTTTGGGGAACAACAGTACGTAAGCAGCTATTGGCACCCCCTTTTTTAAAACACATGTTTTCTGGAACATGAAAACGAATGAGGCCTGTGCCTGGCAAGGCCTAATGATTGATATCACAGAATTGTCCTGATGTGAACACCCAATGTGTCTGAAAGAGAACTGCAGTCTCCCTGGCCGCCCCACTGAGTAACTGCAGCATTGCACAGAGTGGAGTCATTCAGATCAGCCTTAATTTGAACCAATTATTTAGCCTTAAACAAAACTTTTGCCTACATGCTCCCAAAACCACTTTGGGTGACAAAGTGCATGGTGGGTCCCTGGCTTCAGTGCCCTGTAATAGCAAATAAGCATAGACAATAGGTCTCAATGCTGTGTGATATCATCAGCCCTCTTGGGTTAACAGCTGTGACATAAACTATGAAAGTATATTGAGAGCTAAATAAACACGGTGAATTACTGGAAATTAACACAGTTAATATCATTTCAAAAAGTTCAACTAAAAGGGGCTGCTGTGGCACAGTTGTACTAACTCTCTCTCTCTCAACCAGGAGGTCTGGATTGAAGTCCCACCTGCTCCACAGTGTAAAATAATATCTCTGATCAGGTGTATTAGAAAATACTTTTAAAAATCAAATAACCTTAAAACCTGTAAATTCCAGAGTAACTTGCTGTCCAGGACAGCAGATGCGCAATATACTTTTATGAAGACAAAGGAGCACTCCTGTTCCTTCCGGCCCCACAAATATCATTTTGGGTTCGTTCAGCTGTTATGCCTAAAAACTGACTAAAGCAAATAGATACACTCTCTACCCAGGTAGGGTCATGTTCAATATTCTCTGGAAGGTCCATGCATGCCAATTGGCATATAGATGCATTGATTTCCAGTTATGTAAGTTTCTGCCATGGACAGACCTCAGAGGTTGGTTCAGCAGCACAAACAATAGGAACATACGTAGGTCATGTCATGCCTTTCAAATATATACAACGCTGAATCACTTGAAGTAACTGAACCACAAGCATTAAAGGGACAATAAATCTTCCAAACCATCTTCAGTCATTAACATTCATCCGACCAATTTAAATAAAGCCCCAAAAATGTGAAGATGTGAGATTATTTATTGGAATATAAACACATTTCTGAAGAAGTTGTGCAAATTTCTCCCACAAAATCAGTAGAACCTCTGGGAAAAGAATTCAAGCATTAAGAAGAAATAGCTTAAACTCAAAGCACACTTTCCCTTCATAATAAGTAAATACGCTCAAAAGAATTACAAAAGCATCAAAAGAATACAAATACCAGAAATTAAAAACAGAAAATTCTTTCATTTGGAGGATTTGGAAATATAACAATATCAATGTTAAGGATAATTTCCAAAATATGTGCGAAAACAAGAAGGTCTAGATATATACCTCTGTAGTCCTATTCACCATCATCTGGGTCAGCATTAAGAAGAAGCAGAGAAATAATTGTAAGGAGGAAGAAAAATTAAAAATTTAAGATGGAAAGAAGCATTGAAACAAAGAACTGTCTATGAAGACATACAGGATCCTTTGTAATGGCAAACTGCAAAGCAAACACATCGCTTTGGCTGAATCAGTACAGAGACCAGAATAATTTTGCATAACCTGTACCACATAGCAATAACAATTTGTATTTATTTAGGACCTTTAACAAAGAAAGGTCCATTCCTCAACACCATTAGATATGTATTCTAGAGCCATGGTTTACGTGTATACGTATAACGTTTCCAATTCATTATATTGGCATGGTACCATAAGAACATAGCAACATATCAACTGACAATGTCCAATACGCATTTTTTGATTAATCTACCAAACCTTCACACTCTTCTGAAGCAGGGACTGAGCCACAGGTCAATTTCAAAACAATAAACATTATCAATTACTTCACTGACATATGAAGATAGTTGCACAAAGTTCTAGGATATTAGCTGCACTCCGCAAGCCACAATAGACCTTGGAGTGTTGCATGCCACACCTGACACTGTCACAGCACCAAAAGACATAAACCATCTTATTTCAGAATATTTGATCATTTTTATCTGTACTTGCATCCTTCAATCCTGTTCTTAACCACCTAAATCTTTTTAGAAGAAGCAGGAGGTTGCCATATTCCCTGACAGACAGGAAGCAAACAGTAGGAATAAACCAGTCTTTTTCTGAGTGGCAGGTAGTGACTAGTGGAGTACTGTAGGGGTCAGTACTAGATCACCAGCTATTCTAAATTAGTTCCCTCATCTAAATAATTAATTGATTATAAATGCCATTCCTCCAAGTTTGCAGATGATACAAAGCTGGATGGGAAGGTGAGCTGCGAGGAGGAAGCAGAGATTGATGCAGTGTGGTTTTGATAGGCTGAGTGAATTGGCAAGTGCACAGCAGATGCAGTATAATGTGGATAAATGTGAAGCTATCTGCTTTGGTGGCAAAAACAGGAAGACAGATTATTATTTGAATGATGATAGATTGGGAACGGAGTCCTTGTACACCAGTTCTGAAAGTAAGTACGCAGGAGCAGCAGACGGTGAAGAAGGCAGATGGTATGTTGGCCTTCACAGTGAGAGGACTGGAGTACAGGAGCAGGAATATCTTGCTGAAATTGTACAGGACATTGGTGAGACCCCTTCTGGCTTATTGTGTGCAGTTTTTGTCTCATTATCTGAGGAAGGATGTTCTGGCTGTGGAGGGAGTGCAACAAAGGTCTACCAGACTAATTCTTGAATGGCAGGATGGACGTATGAAGAGAAATTGGCTTGGTTAGAACTATTTTCAGTGGAGATGAGTGGGTATTAGATAGAAACCTATAAAATTTTAGGACTAGACAGAGTAAATACAGGAAAGATATTCCCAATGACCATGGTGTGCAGAATTAGAGGTCACAGCTTAAGGATACGGTCAGGATGGAGATGAGGAGAACTTTTTTTCACTATAGAGTGGTGATCCTGTGGAATTCTCTGCCACAGAAAATGGTTGAGGCCAAAATATTGAATGGCTTCAAGAAAGGATAGGATATAGTTCTTAATGCTGAACGTATCAAAGAATATGGAGAGAAAGTAGGAACAGGATACGGAGTTGGATGATCAACCGTGATCACATTGAATTGCACAGCAGTCTTGGAAGAGCTGAATGCCCTACTACTGCTCATATTTTCTATATCTCAATGATAGGAGCTGCAGCTTTCAGATGCTAGTTTTTGATGATGGTGAAATAAGGAGGTGTTTAATGAGATGGAATAGAGACTAGGATAAGAGGATTCCATAAATTTGTTGCTTTAGTTCCAAGGAGTATTACAATTGTCTATCCTAAAGCAAAAAAACGTTTCCAAAATTTATAGTGTTCAGCAGGTTAATGTGGATAGGTGCAGAATAATCAATTATTCAAAGATAGTAGGAACTGCAGATGCTGGAGAATCCGAGACAACAAGGTGCAGGGCTGGATGAACACAGCAGGCCAAGCAGCATCATAGGAGCAGAGAGGCTGACGTTTCGGGCCTAGACCCTT